GCAGCACCCTCAAGACCTGTGGCATCCCCCCAAAAGGGAGGCACAGGGTGAAGACAGATAATTCTATAGGCAGGTTTTCTTGTTGAGAGGAAGGAGGGAGGGCCAGGCTGGCTGAGGTATTGCAGGCTCTGTGTGGTTCTGGGATTTACTGTTACATTTCGTTATTGGCTCTCAAGGGGCTCCAGAAAACAATTAGTGGATTCAAGTGTATTAGAGTAATCCCCCTTTACACCCCCTAACTCAGATAATGACAGCTTTCTTGCAATTAAGAGAGGGTCTCCTCCGAGTGCAGATTAATTGGGTGTTGAATCATCAGGGCTGCCTGAGACCAGACAGAGAGCTGGAGAGACTCAGATGTGGGACGGCAGCCCTGAGCCAAGGATGCAGCAGCCATTCAAGTTCACGGGCAGCTGGAGCCTTGAAGAGGCCCCCACCAGCAACACAGGCTGGGCTCCGTGAGAGGGTGGCTGAGGAGGGAACAGGCGGGGGTGGTGACAGGAAGGAACAGGAACTGCAGGTCCTGACTTCGTGGGAGGCTGAGGGCCTACCCAGGTGCCAGCTCCCGTTTATGATGCTTTGGACGGTTCCTAACATAATAGGAATGCACAGTACGTGCTATCATGTGCCCACTTTCCACTCTCACTGCCATGATTGGGATAAGTGTCTCCCAAAGGCCCAAGTGTTGGAGGCTTGGTCTCTAGCCTCTGGCGCTATTGGGAGGTGGTGGAACCTTTAAGAGGCAGGACCTAGTTGGAGGAAGTTAGGTTATTGGGTGGGGGTGTGGCCTTGGAGGAGATCTGGGACCTGGGCCTCTTCCTCTTTCTCTTTGCTCTGGCCACACACTCCCACATGATGTGCTGTCTCGCCACAGACCCCAAAACAACAGGCCAACTGGCCGTGGGCTGGCACGTCCCACCCTGTGAGCCAAGATGCTAAGAGCCAAGTATATGATGCATGGCATTTTTGGTTGAAAGGTGACGCCAGCTAGCCATTGAGATGATATGATTATGTTAAGATTTGCATTCATATGGATATTGGACTCCTGCTGTTCACCTAGGCTGGCTACGGGACTCCTGGAGAGTTCCCATTGGTTGGGGAAGTACAGTAGGAGGGAGTTCCGGGGGAGGAGCTCGCTCGGCGTCCGAGAGGAGGCCGCGTGGGTGGAAAAAATCTTCCCGGGCGGTACCGGACATTGGCGGCAGTTTCAAAAAATAAACTTTGTTCCTGCTTGAGTGGCTCGTGATTTTGTGCCCAGCCAGACTGCGGCACCAAGATAAACCCTTCCTCCTAGAGGCTGATTGTCTCAGGTGTTTTGTCACAGTGACGAATGCCAACACCATCACAGACAATGTAACCCTTTCCAACCTCAGTGTAGACACAGTTAGGTTCTGTGCCTCAAACAAGTCAGCTGGTGCTCAGGAGGTCAAGGACCAGCCTAGTGCTGGGTTTGGAACTGAAACCAGATGTCCCAACTCCAGGGCCCGCACACTGGCAGCAGCAATGCGGGTGGCTTCTAGGTGGGGAGGAGCTATGTGTCCCATAATCTGAGGACCACAGATTCCCGCATCTTGCTACTGTCCTGCCATTGCCAGCACAGGGCCAGCCCTGAGTGTGTGAGTATGTTTGTGAGTGTGAGTAGGTGTGTGTCCATGTTCCTATTCACTCTGCTTCTGGGTGGGTTCAAGCAGTTCAGTGAGAAAGGTTCTGCTCTAGTCCCCAGCAGCCTCCTTGGTGCCAGCCCCCAGGGGACTGCCGGGGAGGCCATGCCCACAGGCTTGGCTCTGGGGATCTTGGACCCCTCAGTTCCCCACGGACACACCCAGGGTCCCACAGCTGGTCAAAGATAAAACTGGAGAAAGATTCCAGTCTATCTAATTCAGAAGCCCAAATTCTTCATGGTGGGCAGGGAAGAGCTGGGGGTGGGGCAGTTCAAAGATGCCAGGGGAAAGCTGCTCTGGGAGTCCACCATCCCAGTGTCATGCTACCCCACTTTGTCACCACGAGGCCACCTGCCTCCCCCTTCCCTCTCGCAAGCTTCAAGTCACTCTGGAGGCAGCTGATGGGCAGCTTCACTTCCACTGACCGCGGCCAAGTGGCCAATGTCATTCATTCAACTTGCTCCGCAGGGGAACGGGGGCCTGGCTTCCAGTGGCATCTGGAGGCAGCACGTGATTGATGTAGCTGGAGGCGGAGCTGCACGGCTTCCTCTCAGTGAGGAATAGTCTCTGTTCCCAAGACCCCCGTCTCTGTTCCCAAGACCCCCATCTCTGTTCCCAAGACCCCTGTCTCTGTTCCTAAGAACCCCTGTCTCTGTTCCCAAGACTCCTGTCTCTGTTCCCAAGATCCCTGTCTCTCCAAGTAATGAACTGGGCAGGTGGTTTGTGGACGGGTTGGAGACAGGTGACCGGGAAGGGAGCAAAATGACAACAGGTCAGTGGATGGCAGCTTTTCAAGGCCTCCCTGGGAGGAGTGGATTTAGAGGGCAGGGAGGAGCAAGCAAAGATGGCTGGACACATGAGGGGTTCCAGCTCTGACGGCCACCACAGGGGTGAGGCTGATGGAGAAAAGGGAACTTGCTTGACTCCCCGGAAATCACGAGGTCCCAGGCACGGCTGGTTTAAGCCACTGGGTTTGGAGAGGTGGCTTTACGGCAGTCAAGAAGAGACAGGATGTTAGTGAATGTGATACAAGCAGAGGTCTTAAGTTTGCACACTCAGTTTGCTTGGCTCTGGCACGCTTCTGCCATGAACAGAGCACTCCCTGGGTAGCTGCTGCCCTTTAACCTCCCCAAAACTGAGCCTGGAGCCAAGCCTGCCAACCTTACAGAGGCCATCTCAGGTCAACCGCACACAGCCCAAGGGTAGATCCTAAGTGTGATCTGCACCCTTCTGAGTTACGGTGTTCTTTGTTACACAGCATCACTATAGCAAGAACTGACTGAGACACCCACCCTACTTCTTTACAAAACCACATACGGTTTATGGCATAGCAGATTCTATGTTCTCCTGTTGAGAAGTCCTGCCCCCCATTTCCCCTGAGAGATTCTGACATTGCAGCCTTATCTGCACGGAGTAGTAGAAATGTAAAATAGCACTGTGCAGTAGGAGTCAATGGTGAGGTTGTCACTTCAAGAAAGCCATTTACGGAAGTGGTAAAGAGCTGGAAATGGGGAGACGCTGTGGGTCTGTGGCGGGTTCCTCCCAGCAGGCCAGTGTCCCAATGGATTCCTTGTAGCAGGTGGAGTGGGGAGGAAGGTAGAAGATGGCTTATTGACGTACTGTACCCCTGGTGATGCCTGGGACAGAGAGGGATGTCTACGGAAAGGGAAGGCCCAATGTTCTCTACCTTTACCCAAGTTCACCCTGCTTCCTTGCCGGTTATTGCTGACCTCTGACCCCAGCCTGGATCTTCCTGGTGAGCACGGCCCAGGCTGGCTCCCCAGGCCTGATGCGTGCTGGTCCCAGGCTACCCAAAGCTCGTGGGAGTAGGACAGTGGTGCCCGGTTGTTTTCCCAGGCATGAAGAAAACCAGGGAAGGAGGAGGCTGCGGAAAGCTTGGAGGGGGTGGGGGAGGGGAGCAGGGCGGCTGAAGGGACCCAGGGCAGAGCACAGACCCAGCAGCGTGGCCCTTCTACTGTCAACACCAAGGACGGCATGTCCCCCCTGCCTTGTAGCCAGGAAAAGAGCACCTGTCCAGTCCCCTTTAGCACTGGGGGCATGGGTTTGTCAAACTTAAACAGCGAGAGTGAGCCATGCCCCTGAGCCGTGCCCCTGAGCCATGCCCACGAGCTCCAGGCCGCTGCCCGCCCTCTGGGAGTGAAAACAAGGAGACGAACACCTGGCTGAGGCTTCTTCAGGTCCAGCCAACCGCAGGCCTCCCGTCCCCTGTCCCCTGCTTGTGGGAAGTCGAGCAGCAATTGTACTGCCTGCTCAGGATGACAAGGGCGGGGTTGGCTGTGACTTTGGCAGGCTGAAGCTCTGCAATGACGTCATGACACTCACTCTGGTCAACCAAAGGCTGGAGGATTGGGGCACCTCACTTGCTTCTCAGAAAAACCCTTGTGGGGGTCACTGAGTCTACAAGAAGGGAGACGGAGGCCAGAGAAGCGTCCCGTGAAGGCCTGGGTAGGCCTGGGCGCTGTCTCCCCAGCCCCCTCTTGCTCCTCTGTCCCCTCTCAGTTCTTCTGCTCATCTTAAGAGTCCTGCTGCTGCGAGTCCCACCAGGAGGAAGGACAGCCCACACCCCAGGGGCGGTGGGCCACAAGTGCTCCGAGCTCTGGGGCTCACTCCCCAGCCACCGGCCTCCCTCAGCCTCTGCTGACAGATGTGACCAAAGCCAGCATTCTGTCCTGGAGCCCTCAGCCACCTGAGGCCAGCTGCAGGGCCCTCAGGGTTCCTGCTGCCTTGACACAGGAAGGAGGACACGGGTGGGAGCCCCCTCCACAGGGGTCTGTGTGGGTGGATGGTGGGGGAGGTTCGTCCACCCAGAACATGTGAACGAGACCTTTTCTGGAAGAAGGGTCTTTGCAGGTGTAACTAAGTTAGAAGTCTTGAGATGAGGTCGCCCTGGAGTCTAGTGGCCCTCAAGCCAATGACACTGTCCTTACAAGAGAAAGAGGGAAGGAGACGCCATGGGAAGTCAGAGACAGAGACCTGGGTGAGGAACACCATGGAATACTGGTGGCCAGAGGCCAGAAGAGACCAGGAGGGATCCTCCTCTAGCGCCCACGGAAGGAACGCGTCCTGCCAACGAGCTTCCGAACAGAAGGATCCATGTCACCACAGGACTGTCCACCATCCACCCCCTCCAGTTTATGTGCAGAAAGAATGAATCATTTGACAAATGGCGTAACTACTTCCCCCTATTTTTAAACTATTAACTAGTAATTCTGAGAACTAGGAACACGTATTCAAAGCTGGTGACCCTGGGGCTCAGAACCTCTCTGGCCTGGGTGACCAACCTGGGAAGGGTTTCTGAGTGTGACGACGAGCCAGACTCACCTTTCTCCAGAGCCATCTCTTGCAGACAGAAGTAGATAACTCTGGCTCCCAGGCTGAACCCAATCAAGGTGACAGGTCGCTGGCCCTGAGGGAGAAAGGAAGGGCACAGGTGTCTGGTACAGCCAGTTCTAGCACAGCGCCAGGGCAGCCTTAGTGTCTGCTTCTCCTTGAATGAGTCTCTCCTGTGCCATTCAGGGTCCCCGAGCTGTGAGGTCTTCATGCAGAGTTGCCCCTCCTTTAGGCAAGAGTGTCCCTGCGGGCGGGGAGCCTCTGGCGGGATTCATTCCCTGTCATCTCAAGCCATTATCAGCCACCGTCTCTTCTTCCTCGGGAGACACGACTGGTCAATGACCAGGGCTCCTTCCCTCGGACTCATCTGCCTGTGGCAATGATGCAGTGAGACCCTCTGGGGGTCCCTCTGGGGCTGGGGAGGTCAGGCAGAAGGCACCCCAGGCGTGATGGGTAAAAAGCAAAGAGGGACGCAGGAGAGACGGCTGCTTCATTGCTAGATAGGAAGGCGGGACACAAAGCACTGGCTTCAAATGACAAGATTAGGAAGCAAGTCAGATCAAAGAGGATTCTTGGGGCTCACGCACCTGTAGGAAAGGCAAGTTATTTTGGAAAGTCTCTAAAGAAAAATAAAGCTGTCCTGGGTACTTGGGTACATTCACAGGGAGAGAGGGGGCAGGTGAGCTCCAGAGGCCCGCGCTGGCTTCCCCACGATTCCTTGTCCTCCCAGCACCTGCTCTATGCCCTGGTCCATTCACCACCACAGAAAAACCTCCATTAAATAGTATTTGAAACCCGCAGGAGCTTTGTAGCAAAAACTGCCTTGTCTCTGAATATCCCTTCTCCCCTCTGTTCTTCGGTACTGGAGCAGAGTTTTCCCGGGCCACAGCCACCCAGCCAGAGACCAAGTTTCCCTGCTTCCCGTGTAGCTGGGGTGGCCTAGGAACTGGAGATGAGGGGCAGCTGTGACTTCTGCTTTTCTTTTTTTTTTCTGTGAGATCTGGAAGGGGGTGCGAGGCTGGGAGATCCTTCCCAGACCACAGAGAGGAGCCGGGTGCTCCAGGTGAGCAGCCAGGAGACCCAAGGAGCCCAGGGTCCCTACACTGTGAAGTCACCACGCCGGAGACACATCCCTATCCCTGCAACCTGGGGACACCCCCTTCTATGGAAGAGGGACTCTGCAGCTGTGATCAGCTTAAGGATCCTGACTGAGACGGGGAGATGATCCTCCATTATCTGGGTGGCCGAGGTCATCGTGGGAGTCCTCATAGAGGGAGGCAGAATGTGTCACCTGGACAGAAGGCAATGAGACCACAGAAGCAGAAGAAGAGACGGGAGCTCTAAGATGTCACACGCCTGCTGGGTTTGAGGGTGGGGGAGGTGCCACTAGCCAACAGAGGCCCAGGTGGGTGCCACCCGGGAGCTTCCCTGGGATACACCTCTGTGGATACATTGGCCTTTGCTCTCCAGAGCTGTGAGATAATAAATTTGCAGAAGAGAATTCATCTGGGTGAAGCCACTCAGTTTGTGGGGATCTGTCATATTAATAGGAAATGAACACATCCTGCCTTGGCCACTGAGACGTGACTGTCACGTGGCAGAGAATAAACTTCCCTCTCGTGTAGCCGATGCTGCTTTGGTCTTTGCATTGCAATCAAAGCTGCCAAAGGACTTTTGGTGTTTTGTTTGTTTGTTTGTTTTTGCACAAAGACTCAGGGATTGGCTGGAGTTCTCAGTTTCCCGGCAACGTAAGCACAGTGATAGGAACCGCTAGGCCATCCCTCCAACTCCCCCTCCCCTGCGTCCACAGTAACTGAGTTTCAGCTGGCTTCATTGCTACTCAGAATAAAGACCATTTCCTAGCCTCGGTGGCAGCTTGGTGTGGTCCTGTGGCTGGGCTCTGGCCAGCGAGGCCTCAGCTGCATGCAGGAAGGCCCGTGCTCCTCCTTTCTCTGGCTAGAGCTCTGATGTGGCCATCGTGGACCAGGAGGTCCAGGTCAGCTACAGCAGAGACGAGCCAACCCAGAGGGGGTGGAAGGAACCCGGGCTCTGCTCCCTGGCCCACCACCTGAGAATCTCAGGGTCACTCCTGGTTTTCCTAGGAAAAATAAACTACTACCTCATTTAAGCCACTGGTATCGGTTTTCACTCACTTGCAGCCAAAACAAATCCTAACAATATGGCCACCCCTGTGCTGTTTCTCAAATGTTTGTGTCCATTTACTCCATCTTATTTCAAAGGGGACAGTTTAACTTCCTTGGTAAACACATCTTTACTGGATTCAAATTTGGTGGGAGTGGAGGGTGTACTGGGGATCAAACTCAGGGGCATTTGGCCCCTGAGCCCCATCCCCAGCCCTATTTTGTATTTCATTTAGAGACAGGGTCTCACTGAGTTGCTTAGGGCCTCATTATTGCTGAGTCTGGCTTTGAACTCATGATCCTCCTGCCTCAGCCTCCCGAGTTGATTCAAATTTTAAATGTACTGTGATGATTTCTCTTCCTAACCATTTCCCAGGGTATTTAGACCAGTAGAGATGTCCTCTGACCATCACTTGATAATTTTAGGAAGAAGCCCATGGCCACTGGACATGTGAGTTTCACTGGTGGCCAGCAGAAGTGTATACGTGGGCTTGTGGACTTGATCAACTTCACTGCAAATCGAGTCAGAGGTTTTCAATGAAATATCACCCAAGGAGCCCAACCATATTGCTAAACTCTCTAATTACAGCTGATACAGAGGGGCCTCTTTTGCTTCTGTGTGTGTGTGTGTGTGTGTGTGTGTCCCTGCTCCTGGCTGCAGATGCCCCTGTATTCAGTCCTCACCTGATTACCTATAAGAGACGCACGGTCCACAATTCTTACTGCTCCATACTAGGACACTTTCATGACTTGAGCTGGAGGGTCAACAAAGACCACTTATGCCCCCAAAGCCCTAAGGCTACCTCCAAGTAGACTTGTTGCCAGAGCTGACATCTGTATACAAGCCACCCCCACCCTCCCTTCCATTGTGCCCCCACCCACAGCCCCTGCCAGGTACCTGCTGCCGGGAGAGCAGGATGTGAGCCAGGTGCTTGCCAACCTCGGCCGATCGATGGAGACACACCCCCCAGGGGTTGTCGATGACGTTGGCGACACTGAGGAGTGAGGCCGGCCAGGTCAAGGCCGCCACGATGCCTGGGGGTGGGGAGGATAGCAGTGATGAAGCTGGGGAGTCTTTCTAGAGAAGCGATTGGCCCTGGGTGCTGGAGGGACCGCCTGCGGGGCCCAACTGGAACCTACAGGGTTCCCCAGGGCTGCCAAATGCTAAGGAGCAAAGGAGAAATTCCAGCCTTAAGCATTTCTGACACATGGACTCTGCTGCCCGAGCACATCTCATGTGTGAGATTCCTCAATCTGTCACTGCACCCTGAATCCTCCCGTTGGCCTCTCTACAGTGCCCCTCCCCTCTGCAAGACCCCTCCCTCCCCACCAGGGGCAGCCATTGCTCTGGCCAAAGTGATGTTAGTGGGTGTCGGCTCGAACTCGACTCCAGAGTGGGGCAGTCTTTAATTTATTTATTTATTTGGTACTGGGGACTGAACCCAGGGGCACTCAACCACTGAACCGCATCCCCAACCCTTTTTTTTTGTATTTTATTTAGAGACAGGGTCTCCCTGAGTTGCTTAGGGCCTCGCTAAGTTGCTGAGGCTGGCTTTGAACTCCCAATCCTCCTGTCTCAGTCTCCTGAGCCGCTGGGATGACAGGCATGAGCCACCGCACCCGGCTGGGGTGGCCTTTCTTGCACATCCCCTGATGGCATGGGTATGGGCTAGGACGAGGAAAGACACCTGGGGCACAGCCAAGATGCCCATAGGCAAGGCCGGTGTCGGCCAGTGGACAGTGTCTACTCTACAGACACAAGAGCAGGCCCAGCCGAGATGAGCCAACCCAGCCTCACAACTCCCGAGCTACAATAAGTGATCGCTATTTGGGGCCGTAGAGTTCTGGGGGGCTCGTCATGTGGTGGTCAACACGTCTTTACTGGACAGGCACATTCTGTGGTGGCTGCTCTCCTGTCTCTTCCCATAAAGACCATGAACTCCTCATGAAGGAATGCAGCCTTCACCTCCAGCATCTGGGGGCAGCTGGCAGGCAGGGACACGGTACCACGGTGCCTTGCCATGGCTGGTGGAGGGGGGAACTTACCAGACAGCACAGTGTACTTGAGGGCCTCCTGGGCCACCATGTTGGCAAGACCACTGAGGATGGTTTCCAGGGCGTTGCCCAGCTCCATCAGGTACTTGGCCTCCCAGGCCAAGCAGTACTGCTCCTGGCTTCGAGCCAGGGCCGCCCAGGGGGCGCTGAAGGTACCTGGGGACAACACAGGTAGGTGGCGTCTCTCCTGCTGCGGTAGTGGATGCCCCACCCGATCCACTAAACCAGAAGGGCAGCAGCCAGGGACTGCTCACCCCCGGGGGGCAGACAGGAGGCCCATCCTGGCCACCGTTAGCTGAGCAGAGAGGCACTGAGCCGCCCTGTGAGGCAGCCCCAGGAGCGCGTTCAACTCCTGCACACACTAGTGGGTAGGTGACCTTGGGAATATCACTCTCTGACCTTGAGCCTCACTTTGCTCACTGTGAAGTGAGGAGATAGATAATAGTTATGTCCCTTCACAGGGTGGTTGTAAGGAGGAAGTGTCTGCTGTCTATGTCAAGCGTCATTTTATCCCACCCTGGGGAATTAGTTCCACACTGAGCTACCAACAGTGGGACCAGCAGGTGACTGTGTGTCAGCGGCATCTGTTCAACAAACAAGTAGCTGGAGACTGGGGAAGAGGGGCTTGGGCCCAGCTTGGCTGGGGAGTCCCATTTTTCTGGGCCTTGATTTCCTTACCTGAGAAATAGAAATGGAACACAGTCGTGGGAGGGCGAGGAGGCAGCGGGGCCCTGGTGGCCTGTGTCAAGCAGGGGGCACGACCAGGGCTGCTGGCCTCCCTTCCTCCTGTCCCGCCACAGAGGGGCACCTGATCTGCTCCCCCTGCAGCCCACGGGTCCTCCTCCCAACCCCACCTCAAACCCGCCTTCAGCTCCTGGGTACTGACGTGGGCTCCCCTGGCTCGCTCTCCAGAGCCCAGTCGCCACTGGGCAGCCTTCCTGGCCCCTTCCTGGCTCCCGCCACCTTCCCCGCAGTAAGCACTCATGACCATCTCAAGTCACATCCTAGGGTTGGAGCGGCCTCTCCTGCCATATGGCTCACGCCACACTCTCTAAGCCACAGTAATCGCTGACAGGAAACAGGAAGGATGAAGGCAGCGGAGCCTGGTCACAGACCTTCAGGCCTGGACGTGAACCTCTGCTTGCCCGGCCTGGAGGCCTCGCTGTCCCTCGCAGGCTGCTACATTGGGACATCTCCCATCTGCAGGGATCCTGCTTCAGCTCTGCACCACCTCAGGGATCGATGGCCTCTAGTTAAGGATACAGTGACAGGCAGTGACAGGTGGCAGGTGCAGCCAGGAGAGCCGGGCCTTGATGTGCTGCTGGCCCGGGCTCTGCCTCAGCAAGGCGGCTGTCTGCCCTTGTGACTCACAATGAGGTGCGATGCCCTTTGGAACCTGGTTTCTTTTTTTTTTTCCTAAATATGTTTTCTAGTTGGACACAATACCTTTACTTTATTTATTTTAATGTGGTGCTGAGGATCGAACCCAGGGCCTCGCACGTGCTAGGTGAGTGCTCTACCACTGAGCCCCAGCCCCATTTCTACATTTATAAGGATGGGATCATAACGTCTGACTTGCGCCGATGTCCACAGGATCACAGGAGAGGCTGCGTGGGCTGTGTTATATAAACTGTGAAGTGCAGTCCGGCATTGTGATGCCCTGTGGCCAAGAATACAGGCTGAGGAGTGACATGAAGTGGGGAATCTTGCCCCTTCCTGATTAGCTGGGTGGCCCTGGTGGCTTTTATGAGTTTCCTCAACTATAAAATGGGGTTGTGGTGATGCTCGCCTCCGGGGCTTGGATAAGGTGGTTAGTGCCTGGTTTGTGGCTGGTGGTCAGCTACAAAGCTATTATTGTTACGATACACAATTATGATTACTAAAGACGTGAGCAGAGGGAAGCCCAATTATTCTCATCCCGCGTCCAAGCAGGTCTGAGATAGCACTAAGGCTTTGGGAAGACAGAGAAGCTGTTTATTTTCTCCTCCCTGCACTTTGTCTAACTTGGTCATATTTTGTACAATCGCCACACTGCACTAGAACAACTAGAAGAGAACAGCGAAGATGCTTTTCTTCCCCAAAAGTGAACTTGACCTTTGGCCTGGGGTCAGGTCGGTAAAATCATGCCCAGATTTGCTTTCCATCCTGGTCAGAGTTGTAAACTACTTTACTTGACACTTGTTCGTGTTCCCTCCTTCCTGCCGCAGAGTGAAAAACAGGTGAACGGAAACCCTGAACGGCGGTCGGGAGAACTGGGTTCTAACACTGCCCCTGCCTCATGCCCCCTCTAGGCTTCCTCTTCCCACAGATCAAGGTAAGAACAGCCCCCTCCTCACTGAGCAGAGCGGGGACGACATGACGTCACACACATCCTGGTCCCACTGTGCAGGTGCAATGTCTGACTCAGGACAGGCAGGAGCCCAGTGCCCAGGCAATGTGGGAGACCCTCGGGGGGATGGGTCTAGAGGTCACAGGTCATAAGCCGGGGCCTCCAACACCTCTAAATGATACCTCACTTGCTTTCTTCCATGTTGTCTAGGAGAGCTGTGGCTGTCCCCACTGGGATCTCAGCTGTGCCTGGGTGTGCGTGTAGGTGTGGCTGGGAGTCCCGGGCTCCCCTGTCCTGTCTCTAACAGAGGACTCACTGCCGAGCCTCCAGCTGGGCAACTGCAAAGGGGAGCCAGGCAGCCAATGGGCGGAGGCTGGCAATCCTCCAAGCCACCCCGGTCGATTGCCCAAGGCACGCACATCCAGATGCAGATGTCTGTGGAATGCCCCCTAGAAACCAGCCGCGCGTTGTCATCTAGCTCAGCCTCATCTTAGTAGCGACCCTAAAAGACAGGAATTTGCTTCCTTTGACAAGTGAAGTCAGGGGAAGTCAAATAACTTGCTTGAAGTCAATGGCCAAGTCATAATGACCTCTCCCCAGGTGACTGAAACCCTTGACCACCTTCTACTTGCTCAAGGACAAATAAAAGTTCCTTCGTGGTGTGGCCCCATCACACTCCTGCCCGCTGGACCCAGCTAACTCCAGCCAGCTCTTAGCTTAAATGTCACTTCTTCCAAGAACCTATCCCCAAAGCACCCCATACTTCCCCTATTGTACCACCCATAAAGTTTCCCTATAATCACCTGGTCTTATGTGTTCTGCAGGAACAGAGGCCGTGACCAGCCACCCACCACTGAATTCCTAGGGCCTGGCTTTGCTCATGGTACGCGGTCATTAAGATACTTTATAAATACTGCTGGTGGGTGAATAGATGGATGGGTGGATGGTCAGAGGTGGGTAAGTGATCGCTCAGTGGGTGGGTGGAATGCTGGAATGCTGCTGGATGGATGATGGGTGGGTGATGGGTGGATGATGGGTGATGGAGGGGTGGGTGGAAGGATGTGGGACAAAGTTACTTCACCTCTCTGGGCCTCAGTTTCCTCCTCTGCAAAAATGGAGCTCTCCTTGCCCACCCCCTAGAGACACAGGCAGGTAAGAACCTAGCCCAGGTCTGGCCGGCAGCTGCAGGCCCAGCTCCACTACCACCCGCCCCCCTCCGAGTCCTCCTCCAGTCCTGGTCCTTACGGTATTTGCCGGACGCGAGCCACCCAGTGATGGCGATGGTGATGTGCAGCTGCCTGCCCTCCGTCAGGGGCAGGAACGTGAACTCCTCAATGGCTCCCACCCGCTTCTTCATCTTGTATCCTGAAGACCAAATGGAGGTGAGTGGGACCTGGGGTTGTTGGTCAGAGGGGCTGTCTGTGCTCATACAGCGGGCACCGAGGGTTTACCCTGCTCCTGCCCGCTCCTGGTTTTGTCGTCCACCTGTTCAGGTACTCTTGGTGACAGTGACTGTCAGCAGGGAGTGATGCTCACTTGGGGACCTGGGTGGGGATCTGTGTGACTGAGGGCCATCGACACAGGTGAGGCAGGTACAGGAAGGGCGGCTGTGTCCTCTCTGAACATGAGGGAGCCCGTGTGTCTCAGTGAGGGGGGACACCAGCTTGTCAAACCTGGCCTCACCCTGGCCCTTGCCGAGTTCCCTCTCTCCCTGGGCCAGTTCTCTCTGAAGCCTGCTGCAGGGGCGGGCAGGGCCGGGCCCAGAACGACAAACCCAGGCTGCCTCTGCCTCCCCAGGAACCATCCCTGGGGCCACACTGGGAAGAAATCCTTCCCAACTGCCATCCCAGCGAACCTCACCCGTCAGGCCAGCTCCCGCTGCACCGAACAGAGAGGTCATGACGGCAATGCCAGCTGCTGAGCCCAGCGCTGCCGCCCCGGCGCTGCCGATGATCGTCGCAGCTCCAGCAGCAACAAGGGGGGCAGCCAGACCGCCGGTCACACCTGCAAGGAACGCAGCGGGGAGGCCAAGGTGGGCATGACCGCTGGGGCCGCTTCCCAGCAGACACTGCGGCCGCCCCACTCGGAGCCCGGCACATCCCTGGCGCCTCTCCAGCAGGCCTTACCGATCACGGCCCCTCCTCCTACGGTGGCCAGGCCTATCAGAAGGTAACGCTTCCATTTCCTCCGGTTTTCTCTCTTCTTCCGGGATGCCTCAGCCGTCCTGGGAGAGAAGAGGTTGGGCTTCTGGGCCACGATGCCCAGGATCCCTTGGGACCTCCCACCGTGCCAACCCCCCAGCCGCGGTCAGTGGTGGGTAGGTCAGTGCCATACAGAGTAAGAACCAGAGTCGCCCTGGGCCCATCAGTGGTTTTAAAAAACTGAAAACTTTGTAAAACCCAACTGGGGAATCAGCATATATATGGGGTGCACACTTACCCAACAGATCCATCCTAATAGGTTTGCAATTTGAATAATGAAAAGACAAAAAAAAAATAATAATAGCAAGAGAAGCACAAAAAATACCATTCAACAGATGGACCCTCGGTGAGTCCAAAACAGCACCCCAGACTCCACAGTCTCTGGCCTCCCTTCCTCTCTCCCCACGCTGACACCGGATTCCACCTCCCTCTGGGACGGGAGGAAACCAGTTTTGTTCAGAAGAACCACTTCACAAGGGAGTGCTTGACTTTGAAGCAGTAGCTAGACTCGCTGAGACTCAAAATGTGAACCCTATACAATCTGGCCAAAGGAGAGTCTCCGGAGTGAATGAGTGTCCCCCAAACGGTCCTTGTTGGACATTCAGCCCTCGGGTGCTCTGAGGCCACCACCGGGGAGCCAGAGGGGAGGCGGAGGGCGGGACAGAGCGGTCATTATGTGGGAACTCTGCACTGAAGCTGGAATTTGGACAACAACTCAATGCGGAGTGATAGCAAATGACAGCGATGATAAATGATAAAAAAAGGTTAATATTTAGTGAGGGCTTCTCACTCTAGCTACTGTGCTAAGCACGTCCCACACTTTAACTGATTCCAAACAGTTTTATTATCACACACACATTAGAGATGTGTTTGGATTTAACAGCGGCTGCTTCCCAGGGGCTGCGGGGTCCATTAAGAGGTCCCCTGGGAAGCTTGTGGCCCGAGGGTGAGAGTGTTGGGCAAAAGAGCAGCTGCCTGGGTCTAAGGCCCCATGGCCCTGCGCCTCTGTCTCCTGTTGTGTACAATGGTGACAATAAGGTGGCCCTCACTGTTGCTTAGGGGAGCCTGAGCTCATTCCTGCTGTGCCTATTGGGTCGACTGCGCTTAGTGTGACTAGGCACAGAGCGGAAACCCACACGCTCAAACCCGCAGTCGTTTCCTTCCTGGGCTTCCCTGTGGAAGTGGAGTCAGCTGCGCACTCTGAGCTGCCACCTCTGTGGCTTTCTGCCAGCTCCCAGGGGTAAAGCCCGGCACTGCCTGCAGAGCCGCAGAAGCCATCGCTTCTCAGCCTGGGTGGCCCTGGTGACCAAGTGCAGGGTAACGGGAACCAGTGGCCCACATCTGGGCACACTCGGGGCGGCTTTTCCATGATGGAGACATTTTTTGGCAGCATTGGAAGGGAACCCAGAGCCTCGTGCAGGCTAGGCAAGCGCTCTGCCTCTGAGCCGTGTCCCCAGCCCCCTTAGTTGAACTTTATGTCTTCAGCGGGATGGGATGACGCGGAACCGCAGTCATCTGGCAGAGCCGGTGACGACTGAGGGGAACCTGATGTCAGGACTGACTGGCAAACACAGGGGTGACTTCTACCTCCACGGCGGTGGTGGGCTGGGCCACCAGGGTCCCTCCCTGTGGGAAGACTGTCCAATCCAGACTCAGTATCCTGGGGGATGGGTTTCAGGACCCCCCGGGTGCCCCAACCCACAGGCGCTCAAGTCCCTTATATGAAATGGTGTGGTATTTTCTTAGAACCTACACACATCCCACTGTAAACTTTAAACCATCTCTAGATTTCTTATAATATCATGCAAAGGCTATGGGAATAGGTGTTAGACTTACTGTTTGGGGGGTAAGGACAAGGGGAAAATGGAGACCCAATTTCCCCCGCCCCTCCTTTTTTTTGGTACTAGGGATTGAATCCAGCAGGACTTTACCACTGAGCTACATTTTCAGTCCTTTTTTACTTTATTTTAGAGACAGGGCCTCTCTATATTGTGGAAGCTGGCCTCCAACTTGCGATCCTCCTGCCTCAGCCTCCCAAGTTGTTGCGATTACAGGCATGTACCATTGTGCCTGGTGAATTTTTTATTTTTTAAATTATAGATGGACACTATACCTTTGTTTATTTTTTATGGGTGGTGCTGAAGATTGAATCCAGTGCCTTATATTGTGTTAGGCAAGCGCTCTGTCACTGAGCTACAACCCCAGCCTCAGCGCCTGGTGAATTTAAAAATAATAATTTTCATCCATGGTTGGTTGAATCTGAGGATATGGAACCTGCTGGCCGACTGCACGTCCCTGTCCTGGGTGGTCATGTGACCTACTCTAACTGCTGAAATGCAGGCAGAAGTAATGGTTGCTACTGGTGCAGTCTTTAAGACTGCAGGAGCCGGCTGGGCCTATAATCCCAGCGACTTGGGAGGCTGAGGCAGGAGGATTGGGAGTTCAAAGCCAGCCTCAGCAACTTGGTGAGGCCCTCAGCAACTTCACGAGACCCTGTCTCTAAATAAAATATAAAAAAAGCTCTGGGGATATGACTCAGTGATTAAGTGTCCCTGGGGTTCAATCCCTGGTGCCAAAGAAAACAAAAGTTGCCGGAGGTGGCTATGTCTCCTTTGGCTCTGACCTGGGACCAGCATCATTCCAGGCAAACTGGAACTCAGAACCAAGCCAATGTGGATGACAGTCACAGCCAACCTGCAGTGGACACATGGTATGGGCCAGACCCGAGTCTTCAACGCTGGCTATTGGGATCTGGGCCTTGTTTGTTACAGCAACCAAGTCTCCTGATGGCCAGAACTCCACTTTCTCTGTGCCCGTGCACAAATTGCTTGTTCCTCCTGAGTTTCTTCATTGAACGCATGAGCATAACAACAGTGTGTGATTCCCAGGGGTGGGGGAGGCTAAAATGAGGTGAGCCATGTGGACACTGGCACACTGTAACCATCCAGTACATACACCTGTCACTATTATCATCCTTTTTATTATCACAATAATTTCCTCCTAAACAGGGGCTGGTGATATACTTTGCCCTTTGATTGCTTTGCCCCTTAATTGGATAATCCTTCATTCAGTTCAAAGAGGAAGGTTGGAAATTATTGATTTTTTTTTGGCAGAGCTCAAGACCTGACGGATAAAAAAGGCCAGCTGGTGACAACGTTCAACAGGGGCACATACCAGGACCTGCACGTGGCTCTGAGTCAGCAGCGCCTGCGTTCAACAATCACTGGCTGGGGAGGGAGCAGAAACTGGGGATGGGTGTCTCGAGCCCAGGTCTGCTGGGGCACTCAATTTTTTTTCCTTTCCAGTATTGGGGATTGAACCCTGAGGTGCCCCATCCCTAGATCTTTTTTTTTTTTTTTTGAGACAGGGTCTCATTAAGTTGCCGAGGCTGGCCTCAAACTTTCAATCCTCCTTCCTCAGCCTCCTGAGTCGCTGGGATTACAAGTGATCACCACTGCATCTGGCTACTGAGTTGGCCAATTCTTTTGAGCCGTGTTTTCCTCACTTAGGAAAAGAACATGGGAAATGACCCCGTGGGGGTGAGGAGAGCGCAGTGCGGCGGTTGTCAATGTCAGGTAGCAAAGTATGACCAGGTGCTGGCTCCCTGCTTCCCTCTTGGCTGTAAAGACTTCAGGATAGTGTCACCTCTTCAGTGTGTCACTCAGGACCTCTGCGTCCTCCCCCTGCCTCCCACCCCAACTTCACCTTCATCACTTCCTAACTCACATGCAGGTACGTGGCCTGTACCCGAGCTCCATCAGGCCCCGGCACCGAAAGGACCTTCTCTCCTTCCTGTGTCCAGCTTGACATCACTCATCCTCCAAAAGTCAGCTGGTACGTGACACCTCCTCCAGGAAGCCTCCCTTGAGCCCCAAGGTTGCTAAAATCTGTGACTCTGAGTCCCCTGAACCGTCTGTAGAATATTATCGGGAACTCTAGGCCAGTGTTTGCAAAGGTCCCTGCTAAAAGAATCTCTGGGCATGAGCATGAGGAAGCTCATTGGTAACACCCCTCCAGGGATTCTGCTCTATCCCAACTTTGAAGGTTGCTGGGCTCAGTCTTCAGGGCACAGGCCAAGCCATCTCTGGCTCTCTATCCTCTGTAGCTTGCCCTGGCCCTGGGGCAGAGGGTGCTCAGAAAATGTTTCTTGAATAGCATGCAATTATTCCAACAAAGATTGGGGGTGACCACCTTGCTGTGGCGACACAGCTTGCTATTTGTTATGAAAACCAGAGGGGCACTGGGCACTGCAGTGCACACCTGTAATCCCAGTGACCTGGGAGGCAGAGGCAGGAGGATCAAAAATCTGAGGCCAGTCTGGGCAATCTAGTGAGACCCTGTCTCAAAATAAAAAAATAAAAAGGGCTGGGGATGTGGCTCAGTGGTAAAGTGCCCCTGGATTCAAACCCCAGTACAAAAAAAAAAAAAGGAAAGCAGAGGGGCACAGATCAGGTGTCTTGGCTAAATAAAAATGTGCAGTCAGAGTGTAGATCAATCACAGTCTGAAAACTTTCGTGATTACTGCCCATTTGTTATTTTTATTTTATTTTTTGGGTGACCGGGATTGAACTCAGGGACACTCGACCACTGAGCCACATCCTCAGCCCTATTTTATATTTTATTTAGACACAGGGTCTCACTGAGTTGCTTAGGGCCTTGCCATTGCTGAGGCTGGCTTTGAACTCGTGATCCTCTTGCCTCAGCCTCCCGAGCGGCTGGGATTACCTGCGTGCACCACCGCACCTGGCCCATTTGTTGTTAAGAAGCTCATTCAGACTGGACATGGTGGCTCTGAACCCTAACCGCAATGCTCCTGAGTTAGTCCTGGCACTGTCTGCTTCTAGATTCCTCCTAGGGTGACATCTACATGTCCCCGGTGCCAGACAGTCATCACTTTAATCTGAGTTTGATGGAGGAGAGCACATGGCCTGATTGGAATCAAACACTGAGCAGTGTCCGCGGGCCTGGACGGCTGTGGGATTCAAACGCCTGGACTCCAGCACAGCGAGTCCACTTCACAAAGGCGGGGTGGGTGACAGGCCTCCAACTGCTTCGCGTGATTATTTAAATGTTTATCAGCATTCGTTGATTGGAAAAGAAGGTATTTTTCCTAGAGTTACTTCACTGAGTTATTCTGGCCTGACAATCACCCGACTGGCCACTCTCCCTTTTAGAATGTGCACGTTCTTAGCAATTGTTTGCTACATAAAATGAACAGACTTCCTGGTCATTGTTAATTATCCCAGATTTCACCCCCAACTCCCCCCAGGTACTTCTGCTGGGGGGACTTTCAGCAGCTAACGCTCAGGAGGTGATGTCTGCGCTAAGTCACATCTAGAACGCATCCTCCCTTTTCCTTGGAAGCACAGATTCAAATGACTCCAAATCCAGGTGACAGCTCTGTCCCTCTTATAGACTTTGCCCTGTGCTTAGACACGAGGGCAGCCCGTACCAGCATATGATCGCTGGCCAACCTCACGTCTGTCTGGATCACTAGAAAGGAGCTTGGGTTGGCTTTCCCTGTCATAAGAGCAGAGCCAAGGCCACGTGGAGGCTTGGGTCAGATCCCCAGCTGATGCCAAAGACACCCAAGAAGGGCACGACACCAACGCTGCCCGTCTCATTGGGCCACGAATAAACCTTACTCACTGCCATCGGCTCTCCCAGGTGGGGCTGTTCCCCACCCTGAGGTCCTCCTCAGCATCTGCTCTGGGCCTCTGAGCGCCCCAGCCCACCACCTGCTTTGTTGTCCTCACCTTCTCGGGTTAACAGGCAGGGGGCGCTCTCTCTCTCTCTCCCAGGGGCCCAGGGGTCCTTTCCTAGTAAAAGCTTAGACAGCCCCACAAAGAATTCTCTTCACTCCCTTCTTCAGCGTTCAGGAGGGAACCTGGGATTGTCAACCAGGTCTCGAGGGATGCAGTAAATGACATTCAGACTGGACATGGTGGCTCTGAACACTAGCTGCAAAGAAGCACCTTCCAGAAACACGCAGCCTTGGCGTTAAAAGGAATCTACCTGCCATTCGATCCCCTAATTGCAAAAAAAGGGTGTTGGTGCCCAAAGTGGGCAAGCAGCCTGCCCAGTGTCACACAGAGAGTTAGTAGCAGAATCGAACTAAAAACTAGGCCCCTTGGTAGACAGATGCTGTGTCTCCGCTGGACCTCAGATCTTCCTGGAGACCACAGACAGAATCTGAGAGGTCTTCATAGTCTCTGAAACTACATTTTTCCCCCCTGGGGAGAGGGTGCATAAGCAATAATAACACAATTATAATAGTATCATTGAAAACAGCAAATCATGAGATTTATGGACCAGTTACTCCTTCCCAGGCTCATGTGAAGCGCTTTACATGTATGAACTCATTTCAGACCCACAAGAATCCGAGGAGGAAAGTCCCACTGTTATCCCCATTTTGCACACGAGGACACGGAGGCCCAGAGACGCTAAAACTTGCTCAAGGTCACGTGGCTGGTAGAGTTGGAGCCGGACCGTGTTAGAACGTCTGGTTTCCATCTTCCCTGATCTGGCGTTATTGATATCATCAGAACAAATCCCCCTGGGTAAAACACTCCTTCCTGACAATAAGATTTCTAAGTAGGGGCCGAGAAGTTCCCTAATTTCAAGGCTCTAAGACCCTGCGAATTTCTCATACAGCCAAAGAGCCGGGCAGCCCTGGTGACTGTCTGGCCCAGGCCTCTCCTTCCTGACGCAGCGCTGAGAGTCAAGCAGGGATGGTTTTAGGTTAATTCCACAAGTCACCTTTGCTCCTTTCTCAAGGTCCTTTGCCCCATAAACCCTGGTGGAGGCGGCTCTGGCTCTGAACTTGACTTCAGGGCTAAACTTCCAACTGGGCTGAGCTGGTGTGACCGGGCTGCTCAAAGAAAGACACAGTGGATGAAGGGGACCAGGGCTGGGCGGACGTGCCTGGTGCCAGCCGCCCTCAATTAGGCTGCGACAAGGGGATTGATTTATTGCCCTGGGTTCGATTCCCTTTTGCAAAGAGCTGGCCAAGAGTCACCAGGGTCATTTCCCTCCGCTTCTGCTCTAGAGCTGATGGGCTCAGGGGCAGGGGACGGGGGAAGGGAAGGATGGGATCCTGTGAGCACCTGCCGTGTGCCAGCTCGGGGCCAGGCACTTCGTGTGGTCATGGTCTTCTTTTCCAGTGACTCTGGGAGGCTCTTTGTCCTTCCTGATGTATAGGTAGGACTGTTTCAGTCTAGAGAAAGAGACCGCCTGCTCGAGATCCCATGGCACTGGGTGTCAGAAGTGGGATTTGAAGCCGGGTCACCTGGGCCCATGGACAAGCTGTCACAAGAGTGTGAGTGGAGCAGGGTGTTAGGGACATGGGGTGTTGAAGTCATAGATTCCAGGCCTTAACATTCATTCGTCTGATTCTCTCTTCTTACAAATGAAGACTGAGGCCCAGAGAGGGCATGCGGCTTGCTTAGGTCACACAGGGAGTTGGGCTACCACTGGGACTCTGTCCAGTGCTCCTTGCACCCACAGCACCATTTCTCAATTGGGAGGGGGGCTCTGATATCTGCAAAGTGCAGATTTCCTCAGGTGGACATCTGTGGTCCCTGTGGGGAGGGGGTGGTAGGGCTTTCTTACTCAGATTCCTCCTCCTTGGTTTCCTTCAGACTCTCAAGGAATGTCTCTTCAAGGACGTCCAACTCCTCCAAGGGCACCTGGAGCAGGGAGGTCATGTGGCAAACGAGTACTCTGGCCCGGGCATCATAGCGCCCTCGAAAGAGAGAACGTGGGGAAAAATCAACAGTTTAGGTTTAAACACTGAGATGCCAACCATGGTGTAATTAACAAAGGCCAAACCTAGAAACATCCTACCCACACAGCTCTGTGAGTTATAAAACAGCACCGCTTCTAGAATGGAGTACTACGCAACCATCAAAATGTTAACCAAAAGCTGGGTGGTTCTTCTCACCAGTCCAATGGACGAAGATCAGTTATTTAAATCCCAAGGTTGGGGGGCTGGGGATGTGGCTCAGTGGTAGAGTGCTTGCCTAGTGTTTATGAGGACTTGGTTCAATCCCCAGTAACACACACACATACACACACACACACACACAATCCCCAGGTTGGTAAGAAAATGATAAAAACTAGTGCTCAAAGACACTGCTGCCGGGAGTGTACCATGGTACCAACTTTGTGACAGGAAATTTGGCAACTATGTATCCACTTTTTAAAAAAGGGTAGATCCTCTTTGTCCCACAAATTCCATTTCTGAAATTCTAAACTTAAAAGAAAACAATTCTTAGTACAGAAGATATTTAGCAAATAAAAGCACTAATGAAAGTAAAGTCCGGTTTTAGGACATGAAATTGGAAATAATCTGGAGACTTCTAACATCAGGGAGTTAAATAAACAATGTACAACCCTCCAGGGGATGCTGTGGGGTCCTAACGAGAGGAGTTCCAAGGAAACTCTGTCATAATGTTTGAAACGAAATTGCTCAGACAATAAGACATATTTTAAAGGTGGATGGAAGACCGATTCCCTGGTGTGTCCTAGGGTCCCAATTAGGAAACAGGACACAACAGAAAATGGACCCATCGTGAACCTGGGTGGACTTCATAACTGGAAAAATTAATCTCTCAAAATCCAGCCACGAGTGTCCATCTGAACTCTAACCACACAGTCCAGGAATCTGAAAGACGATCCGAATTCCCGGTCAGTAAGGGACGAGGGGTCAGAAAGGGGTAAAATGAGCCGATTCTCCTGAGAACACCAGGACAGCGCTGTCCACACAAGGTGGCCCTCGTCCACCCAGCTCTGATTCCACACTGGCCTCAGCTGCCACCCCCTCCACTGGCCAGGTGATGGGTGGCCCCTGTGTGGCCTCCTCTTGGGGGCCTCAGAACACACCACCTAACCACCAAGCCAGGCATGGGGGTCTCTGCATCCTCCTGTCCCTCACCCTCACGCTCAATGTCCCTAGCAACTTGTGTCCCACATCCAGCTCTTTCCACCCTGCAGCACCCACCCGGCTCAGGCCACTGGCACCTCCTCAGTGGCCCCTGCCAAGCAAATCCACAGTGGGTCCACCGCCTCTGTCCCATCTCGGCCCACAGAGCCCAGCCTCTGCTGGCAGCCTGCATGCGGGGACCAGCCTCCCCCAGCTCCCTCCCTTCCTCAACTCACATGTCACCCAGGTGCCTGTCAACTGGACAGTCTCAGTTTTAACCCCCCACTGCCATTTTCTATCTAAGGGGCCTTGGATCTCTTTATCCCTCTGACCCCGAGATAAGAAGTATAAATCGCAGAAGTTGGTGGTGCCTAGAGACAGTGAAATTTCAATAAATTTTTCTTTACAATAAAAAAAAAACGTATAAATTGCCACAGGGCTTTGTGCGAAGCGAGCTGTATTAGTTTCCTGTGGCTGCTGTAACAAACACCAGGCTGAGGACAATACAAATGGGTCACAGCACAGTCCTACGGCCAAATATCTTAAAATCAAGGCTGTGTTCCTTTGGAGGTGCCAGGACAGAACGCCCCCCTTGCCCTGCCCTGTTTTCCCTCTTAGAAGGACCCTGGGATTCCGCTGAGCCCCAGATGGCCTGGGATCATCTCCCCACCCCAAGATGCCTCCAGCTTCAAAGTCCTTTTGCCACAAAAGGTCTGTTAAGGGTTCCGGGGATTTGGAGGTGGACACCTTTGGGGACATTATTCTGCCCGTCACTTAAGCCTTGAACTTTCATTTCCCCCAAGATGAGGCTCAGCCCCCAGCTCCTCTTGGAACCTCCTGTGGATCTCTCCTTGCACCCAGGGTCTGTGGTCCCCACCCAGGGCTCTCTTGAAGCGTCGTCCCGCAGTGACAGAACTGGTCTGCGTTCTCCTAGGCCCGGCCGGCTGTCAGGATGTCCACCCCAGCACCCACCTCGGGCAGGCGAGGCACACGGGTTTCCTGAGTCCTGACTTAGAGGACCCTCCTTTCCTGGCCTCGGGTTTCCGAGGGAGGGACTAGTCAATGTCACAGCCCCCGAGGTTGTGAAGTTGGAGGTTTTGGCTTTTGCAGAAATCAGGTTCTTCCTGGCCTGGGGTCCTTAGAGCCAGACATGGTGCCCGGGGTCCCGTGGCTGCCTCCTGGGCCAGGAGCTGTCTACGTGTCAGGGGACAGACAAGAGCCTGTCTCGGGGTTACTGGGCTAATGACGGCTCCGCAGACACAGCAGCTCCCTGCGGGAGGGAAACTGCTGTCCCCAGGTGATGTGGACAGCAAGGCTTGGCCTGATGATTAATGGGCGGCCTGATAACCAGAGCTCATTCAGGCTCCACGGGTCACGGCTGCAGTGATTCAGCCTTCAGCAGACGGCCGCCAGGTGCAGGGTGATTAATGTTCCCTGGAAACGTCAGACTGGGGCTCGGTTCCGTGGAAGGGTCACTCCCAGCATCTGGGCGAGTGGCTGCTGGTCTGAGGCAGGTGGGTGGGGTCCCGAGCCCCAGGCTACCAGGGACGCTGGGGTTCTCCAGTCTTGGTACCACTGCCCGCTGCCAGGTGCCAACTCCCCGCTGCAGGGCCTGTCCACCCTTCCACTCTGGGCCCTGGCAGCCTTCTCGACTCCTCTGGTGTCCTCATCCTGACGTCCAACCTCCCAGGTACATTCTGGGCCCATGCATTCAGCTGCATCTCCCCTGCCACCACCTGCCACCTCACAGTAAAATCCACACTTCTTCCCATGGTCTGCAAGACCCCTTCCTGCTGCCCTCTCCCATCCCATCTTCCATCCATCCCTGCTTCACGCACCAGTATCTGTCCTTCTGAGAAGCCAAGCTCCTGCCTGCCTCAGGACCTTTGCACGAGTGGTTCTGGGTACCTGGGAAGTTCCTTCCCCAGAGCTCTGCCAGGCTGGTGCTTTTCCACTGGTGAAGCCTCAACTTAAATATCAACTTCTTGGAGAGGCCAGTGGCTCCTGAATGGGAATAGCCCCTCTCCTGGTCACCCTGTCCCCATTACCCTGTTTCCTACCATTGCTCTATCTGGGAATGGATGGTTATGTACATGGTTATTGTCTGGCTCAGCCCATCAGAATGTCAGTCATACAAGGACAGAACCGTTGCCTGGTTCCTTGCTGTCCCTGTGCCTGGGACAATGTCTGAGTTAGTAGGTGCACAGTTAAGATGCATTGGCTCATTAACTGAAGTTCTCCCCGCTGGCCAGGTCCTCTGCTGAGCCCACTCACCCCAAGCAGCAAACACAAAAAACCTTTCCACTTCCCACGTCCTCTTGAGACTTACTGTTTCCAGAACCGTCCAAGTCCTGCTCCCCCAGGGCACACGGGGGAGAGAGGGGACTCAGTGCCTGAGGCCCTCTCCTCCTCCGAGTGGGATTTTCTCTCACGGCAGTGAATTCCCCTAAGTGCCCGAGCCTGAGTGTCCAGAGCCCTCTTTCTGAGACCTGCTCGTGGCTCAGTTTCCTTCCTCAGGGCCACCTCCTCCAGGAAGCCCTCCCTGGCCCACTCCGCTGCTTTCTGCTTCCTTACCATGAATGAGCTCTTCGCATCACCAGCTGACACCTCCTTCTCTGCCTGTCTTTCTCTCCAGAATCTAAGTTCCAGATTCACTGGGCGTCCCTGGCACGTGGGCCCCTGTCCCTGACACTCGGGCCCCTGCCTAAAACAAAACAGCTTTGATCATCTTCCCACGAGCGGGACTCTGTTGGGAGAGGTCTAAAACATGGCGGGTGGTGACGCTGGGGGGTCTCTGTCCCCTTCAGACAGAAGTGTCCCATGGCTCGTGAGCGACTGATCTGGAAGCTTCATTCAGCCGCTGGTTGCTCTGAGTCTGTGCCTCATGCTCGGTGGGCACAGGTCTCCCAGGTCCTCCGACCACCCAGGAGGCAGTGGTGACAAAAATCTTATCAAAGTGGAGACAGGCGCAGCACGCTCTGGCCACCGCCCGCGTTCACCTGCCAGCAAGTCGCAAAGTGGGCAGTCTGGCCACAGAAGCTGTGCCCTTGAGCCCCCTGGTGACCTGGGAACCAAGTCAGGGCCAGCAGGACAAGGTCCACACTCGCCGGTCCCTCCCCAAGCAGCCTCTGACGTAGATGTGCGGCAGTGGGTGCTCTGTCCCTGGGGGGCGGCCCTCACCAGCAGCAGCACCCTGGGCTCCTGAGGTCCCCTCTAGACTGGAGATCCAAGGGCAGGGTGCCTGCGTGTCCTTCCAGCCAGGGACCTTCAGAAGTCCTTAGCCCAACAGTGACGTGGTGATGTGGCGTCTTAACCCCACATTGGGGGACGGGGGTCTTGAACTTCAGTGTCACGGAGGTCACCAGGGAGCCCATGAACACTTCTTGCTGGACATGCGGAGGTCTGGGGAGGGGCTCTGGAAGCAGGTGATTCCTACTCCAAGAGACAGAGCAAGGGGCTCTCCTGCCGCAGAGACCAGCTCTTCCAGGTCAGGGGTGGCCAGGATCACTCCTGCCCAGAGTTAGGAGTGTGACCAAGAGACCCTCCCGCACCTCGGCAGGGAAGGAAACCAGCACCTGGGCCTGACTTAAGTGCCGGAGCTTGTGTCTGTGGCTGCTGAGCCCCCCACCTTCCTAGGAAGCATTACGATGCCCCATTTTGCCAACTGAGGGAAGAACACACGCAGAGAGGTTAAGGAACTTTCCCAAAGTCACACAGCTGAGAGAGCGATGGATTGTGATCCAGGATCATCTGACGACAACGTTTCTGCTCATCCCACTGTGGCTGTCTTCTAAAGGCAAATCCCTGGCTCTTGAACAAGG